GACGAGACTGAGGCGCGCGTCATGCTGAGCCGCGCTGTGGAGTGCGTGCCACACTCTGCCCGGTTGCACAGTGGCTGCCAGCAAGCACGTTGCAGTTCGTACACACTCGATTCTTGACATGTGGCCAATCGCATTGCCACCCTCTTGTCAGATTTACGCAGTGCATATTTGCAGTACCACGGAAGTGCTTGCTAAACTTAGCTTGAATAGGACCTGAATAGGAACCCTCAATGCTTGTCGAAAATCCCTACTCAAGGCTACATGACCATCTTGAGCGCAAGTAAAGTTGCTTTTTCCATAGCGCACGCGAGTCTCAAGATTCGGGGGGACCCTCCAAATCACTCCAAATATCTCCGAGTGTTTGCCAATAAACCCCGTTTTATGGCGTCAAAACTGCCAGTTTGAAGGGTCCGGCATTGAATCAGCAGTGCTATCTCTTTGGAAGTGTGCGGACACCAGTACAGGCTACAGGTGTTCAAATTGTTCCACTGTGCAACTGACTTTCAATTGTTTCAACCAGACTGACACATTCGAAGGAGAAACAAGGAGATTCGAAGGACAACAAGAAGCTCAGATTCGTACCGCGCCGGCGCGGAGTTGAGGTTGAGATGTGGCTGGCCTTGGCCAAGCTTTCGGCCTACAAGGAGGGCGGCAGCTCAGCAGTTTTCCATTTCAACGTGGCAACCCGTGAGTTGGGGGTTGATCAAAAGGCTTGATTCATGAACATGGGATGACCATTGGTTGGACACCCAAGATATTTTTGATATTTCCCACTAAATGGGAACATGTATCCATGGTTATTTGGGAGCCAGGAATATGGATCAACCCCCCGTTGTTTGATCACTTCCTGAGTTCCTGAACCTTTTAAACTTTTGGGAAGTAGTGGTGAACCAATAGCTTAGACATTTTTGGCCAATCCACTCAGGAAGTGAGATAAAGCATAGTTTGACAAGATCCAAAGTAAGTACAATCAAATGACACCTGGCATTGCTGGCCACTCGGATTAACGACACCTTTGTGTAGCTTTGAGCAGCGGCGCAGTTTCTAAAACATGCCATGGCATCATCATTCTGTGGGATGATGCAGCAGAACAACCTTGCAGTTTTTCATCGTGCACAGCAGTCTTCGCAGGCAATTCTGTTTGGGCATGCCCACTTATCGGCTTGTTTGTAGCGTCACTTGCTGGTTTGAAGGCCTTGCTTTTAGGTTGCTGATAGAATAAGCATGAAGCAACTTGCTGCACTTGAGCGAGTTAATGGAGGAGGCTGGGCTATTGGCTATTATTGTGAAATATTGTTTGTGCCTCAGGCAGACAACAGCTGCATGTGCCGACAACAGTGTGCGCCAACTCATCGCGACAACCTTGAACGGTGCGGAAGTGTGTCTGAACAGTTGCTTCCTGCTGTGGTCTTGCTAGAGAGCCCCTGAAGCTAGCGTGGCCAGCCTTACATAGAGTGCTTTGCAATGGGATAGTTGATTGAATTAGAAGGAGCAGCCGACATCCCTGGTTGTTTGAGCTTGTTTGGAGTATGCGCTTGGTCATGGTGCGCAACCCTCCATCAATCTGTCGTGAAGTGGGGCCAATGAGTAAGGCTGGGATGAGCTGATCCCGCTTGAGTTCAACAAGATCTGCAAGTTCAACGCCTACGTACATACAACTGTATTGCAAAGAAGCAATGGGACCAATCCTGAAACATGTGCGAACAGCAAGCAACATTTTGCCAGTTGAGGCGACATAGCAACACTGAGTCTGAATCTACTGCAAGACCTAACCTCTGGGTGAGCCAGAACTTTGCACAGCTGTAAGGTGAGTCATAATGGAAACCCGAGCAATTGGAGGGTAGTAAGTAAGGGACAATCCCAGCCAGAATTGGGCGCGGCCGCCTTTATGATTCTTTCCATTGGTTTGGGTAGGCCATTTTTAAAACTGGGTTTTGATTGTGACTCAGGTGGCTGCTCGATAAAATTTAATGGCACCTGGGTAAATGGAACCAAAGATTCGAACTTGCAGTTTGCCCTAGCTCTTTAATTTGGGTATGGGTCAAAATTAAACTACCAGGAGACCGCAGGTTTTCGTCCGTGTTTGCCAGGGCAAGCCATTTTGGGGTTTCCCTATTTTTGTCCCACAGCCACACCCAGCGTTTGGATTTTCCTGTACCCAGATCCGAGCGGCCAGGATGCCCAGAAGGTCCTGAACGAGGCACGAAAGCACATCCCGCCCAGGCCTCAGGTTGCGAGCGAACACATCGATTGGGCCGGACGAGGTCCAATACCGAGCACCACTTTGAAACCGTGGGAAAACATGGAAAAAACAATGCTTTTTGGTGTTTATAGGGGAGTTTCGTCCATCCACAGTACGGTCGCTCTTGCACTTTCGTACACTGGATCTCAAGAACAACCCATGCGACCAGACTCTTAGAAGTGACGAGGAAGATTTGGAGTTCATGAGCAGATCGAACCATACGACAAGGTAGCATGCTAAGGCTGCCACAGCTGCTTCCCTTGTTACAGAGTTTGATATCCAATCCCTGATGCGCTCCTTTCGTGTGCATCAGGACAAGCCCAGTGATCTGGGTCACGGCCACAAGCCTAGCTGCATTCCAGTTGGCTGAGCGCGACCGGGATTGTTTCACAAACGTTGTTCAGTTTGCACTGTACCGCTCATGCGCGTGTTTTGTTTGCGTGTTTGTGATCGTTTGTTGGTTGTTGCCCACCGACCAAGAATGGCTAGCATACAGGTGATGTGTCTATGTGTGTATATGAGGATGTGCGTAGGTGCGATCTCCACCTCAGCTGATGCAGTGCGAATGGCGAAGAATGGACTCACCGCCCGTGTGTTCGGTTTCGCACACTTGGCTAGGCAGCCAAGCTGGAGGAGACGCAGGGCAACGAGAAGATGGCACGGCTGCCCAGGAATTGCACGAATGAGTGACATGGGTATGGGTCAAAATTAAACCAATAGGGGACCGCAGGTTTTAGTCCATGTTTCCATTTGCCAGGGTTCCATTTTGGGTACCCATTTTTGACCCACAGCCACATTGCAAGCCACTGACATGCTGGGTTTGGGAAAGTTGACAAGGATGATTTCTCGGTCCCAGAAAAAAGTTCTGACGAGCCAATACTTTGACATTCGGACTGTTTGTCACGAAGCTTCAGTCGATTGCTTGTGTAATTGTTTGAAGGCAGGTTTGACGGTAGCGTGAAAAGTGCTGGGTCGGCAATGCAGTAATGTGTAACAACATGTAGCAACACAGCTGCTTGTTCGCTAATGTTGACCCTGGACCAACATTAACCCCTGTTTATGAATATGGGGGTGTTCCCCGCCAAAAAAAAACACACACTAAAACCAGGGAGAGGCACCCCCTCCCCATTTTAGTAAACAGGGGGGTCAACATTTCTCTGGAGGGTCACTCCGTACGAACAACTCCTGGTCCCTTTCCTGGTGATTCCTGAAAGCGACGCCTCGGTGCCCTATCCCGCAGGTGGAGCTGATCTTGACCCGCGCCATCGACTCGCTGGCTGCCAATGGTGTGGCGCCGGATCGCGACATGTGGCTGAAGCAGGCAGAAGAGGCGAGGAGTTGCTTAAACCGATGCTTAGGAAAACTTGCGATCGGCGCCATAGGCAGGGAATGAGACATGGAACGACCCTCAAAATCCATCCAGCTGGTGGTTTCCTTTAAGGGAACCCCCAGGTTCATTCACTCATTTATTACTGAGCACCAGCAAGTTGATTGCCGATGCTTAAGAAATGCGGCGCAGCACAAGCTAAAGTTTGGCCGCTGTTGATGTGAAGGAGCAGTCAGGCCAGATGTATTCCTGACTTGTGAGGAGTCTGGGTACTGGGTAATGGTTCGAAATGTTGAAAGAGACCGAAAATGAATGAGCATCTTGGATTTGTTCGGACCCTTACTTGAAGCCCGCGTGCAGGCAGAGAAGACAGGCTTCATCAAGACGTGCCAGGCAATCATCAAAGTCACCATCAAGGCACGTTCATGGCATGCTATCGATGTTGATCGGGATCGTTGACATGGTGTCAAGTTTGGGATTCGTAGTTCATCATTTGGGGCCCATTTTGGGCGGGAGCTTCGGGCGGACCTTTCGCTCTCCGGGGATCAAGGCGATGTGGTTTTGTTTGCTTGCCTTGTCAGCTGTTGTTTTGGCTGTGAAGAGTTCAAATCAGAAGATGTGAGTGTCGCAACTTCCAGTCCTCGGGGCGCAAGGCACACGTGCACGCCATGCTCATTCAGAGCTCGAGTTGCAAATGAAAGGTTCTTAATGCCGTCCTTGGGCAAAGTCTTGCACGTGCGAGCTTGAGTTAGCTTTTGCAAGGTGGGCGTGGACGAGGATGTCAAGGGCATGAAGCAGAACTGGATCCAGGACATCTTAAGAGGGAGAGAGCTTGTTTCCAGGATTGAATTGTGTTGTGGGTGTGTATCCCACGATATCCGTTTACTGCAGGCTCGTTGTGCGACAGCTTCATGTCAATTAGTTTCTTTGATTACCCGGCCTGACATGTTGAGAACATTTGCTCAAGGAGCACCAGGCTGTGATTACCACCTGCCACCAGATATTCGCAGCTTCAGAGAGGAGAAGCAGCCATTCAAAGGGCACAATGGCCGCCGACGGCAAGGCAGCTTATGCAAACATGCTGCCAGCTAGTGATTGTGCAGCTCACAAACTGGCTTATGAACATTTTGCCACTGGTTGGCAGAGCCAGAAACTGAGAACCCGCACGAAACGCCTTCCAAAGAAGAACAGAACGCCTCCGCCATCTCCCGCCATAAAATGTGCTAAACCGGCAAGCGAACCATAGAGAGAAGCGTCACTAGATGCTGTAGGAAGAATCAGCCCTGGCGCAAAGACATTTGTCATAGGACATGTAGTCAACAAACAGGCTACCCGGCCTGTGTGAACTATTTGCCATAACGATTCTTGGAAGTTATGGGCAAGAAGAACGCTTAAGCACCCAGAGAAGCCTGCCAAAGAGTACCTTTGGCCCAGCTCTTTTGCAGTTTCTATGCTTTGT